TATTTATTTGTCTTGTTTTGTTTGTTTACATATATATATATATATATATATATGTATGTATATCTATATACGTATACAAACCTGTATATAAAGGGTTTAGTGGGTACGAGGGTTTAGGGTTTAGGGTTTAGGGTTTATATATAAATATTTGTTTACCGTTCCCTTGTTCATAGTATACCACCAACATAAACAAATACAACAACAATAACAACACAGTCATGTATATTCTAGGGTTTACTAGGGTTTAGGGTTTACTAGGGTTTAGGGTCTAGGGTTTATAGGGTTTATATATTCCCTTGCTTATGTCATACAATAATCATCATAAGAAGATAAAAGAAGAGACATGTTTCTAGGGTTTACTGTATATTAGGGTTTAGCCTAAACCCTAGTTTAGGGTTTAGCCTAAACCCTAGTTTAGGGTTTACAGATATATTTAGGGAGTATATAATATATTCCCTTGTTAAACAAGAATAACTAGATAGGTATTTAGTGTTTATTAGTGTTTATTATTAGGGTTTAGTGTTTACGAGTATTTATTAGGGTTTAGGGTTTATGAGTGTTTATGTATTCGTATATATCTATGACATAACAACACCATCATACAATAAAACACTTTCTGTATTAGTGTTAAGGGTTTACGAGTGTTTAGGGTTTACGAGTGTTTAGGGTTTATTATTATTGTTTATTAGTGTTTATTATTATTATTATTATTATTATTATATAAATATAAACATATAAATATATTGAATAATAATATATAAAAGAATGTATAATAGAGGAATAGATAAAAGAGTGTATATGAGTGTTTAGGGTTTATGAGTGTTTAGGGTTTATGAGTGTTTAGGGTTTATGAGTGTTTAGGGTTAATGAGTGTTTAGGGTTAATGAGTGTTTAGGATTTATGAGGGTTTAGGGTTTATGAGGGTTTAGGGTTTATGAGGGTTTAGGGTTTATAGATATACCTGTTTAGCAAGAAGAATATGTTCTCTAGTTTGTGGCATAGCACCATCATATGCAGAAACAACAAGAATAGCCCCATCCATGCATGCAGCCCCAGTAATCATATTTTTAATATAATCTGCATGCCCTGGACAATCAATATGTGAATAATGACGATTTTTTGTCTCATATTCAATATGTGTTGTATTTATTGTTATTCCTCTTCTTCTTTCTTCTGGTGTATTGTCTATTTCTTCATAACTTTTATATATATTTATATTATTATTATTATTATTATTATTATTATTATTTTCTAAGGATAATACACGAGTTATTGCTGCTGTTAATGTTGTCTTGCCGTGATCTACATGACCTATTGTTCCTATATTTATATGGGGCTTTGTTCTTATAAATGTTCCTATTGCAAATGTACGAATAGAGGAAGGACAAGATAAATAAGAAAAAGAACAAGGAAATACACAATATTTATTTAATCTATTCTTATTCTTAGCCGATAAAATAAGGGAATCATTCCTTCTTAATGGACTCAATACAGAAAATAACCTATATGTACTACATACTGTTCTTCCTCCAGTTGCTGCAGCAGCAGCAGCAGCAGCAGCAGGAGTGCTGCTAAGAGGGAAAGAAGAAAATACCCTTGGTAACGACATTTCTACATTTGATGAATAAAAAGAAGAAATAAATATAAAAAGAAAAAAAAAAGAAAAAAAAATCAATATACAATTATTTATAGTTAACTTTAACCCCTCAATTCAACACCACCAACAGTAAACCCTAAACCCTCCGAAACTAGAAAACCCTAAACCCTAAACCCTCAGATATAAACACTCTAATAAAATAAATTAAAAAAAAGAAAATAAAAGAAAAAAATACAAAGACAATAAGTACAAGAAAAAGAAAAAGAACAACAAGAATATTTATTGCTGATTATATATACACAACAAGCCCCATCGATTAATGTGTATGCATGTATATATGTATTTGTGTATGTATTTCTTTGTATCTCTCTCTTCTTTTATTAATTCATATTAATTATATATTCATTATTTACATAAAATTATATTTTATTTTATTTTATTCTTTATTTTATTTAATTATTCAATTCTTCTAACAATTCCTTCTTTCCTGCTCTCTGCGGTGTATATGATGATGATGTATCCACAGGTAAGCAAGTACTCATCTATGCGCTGCTGCTCTTTTTTCTTCTTTTTTTCTTCTTTTTTTGTATAAAATCATTATTTTTTAATTTAATTAATTATTCTTTTTTTTATTTTATTTTAAATATATAATTTAATTCATTCACCCATATCCTTGTCCGCATATAGTGGTGGTGGTGTGCGCGTGTGTGTCTGTATGAGCTTGTATAAAAGGAGGTAAAAGGAAAGAAAAAAAGAAAGAAAAAAATATATAAATGTAGATAAATAAACATATTATTATTATATTTAATTACTCATATTTATTAAATAGTAAAAGTAGATATTTATTAATAATAAATATTTAATTAAATATAATTATTTTTATATATATTATTACTAAGATATAATTATTTCCTCCTCCTCTCCAAAGAAGAAATATATTCCTTCATTCATAATAATATTTTATTTTCTTCCTTTTCTTTATTTAAGTCTCTTAACTACATAAAATATATTTATTAAATATATTTATATTTATTTTTTTTATTTAATTATTCCTTTTTTTTGCCTCCATTTATTCGCGTCACTAAATAAATAAATATTTTAATAAAATATTTTATTTAATATTTTTATATAGATTTAAATAAATGTTTAATTAAATAAAATAATTTATTTTATTATTTTTATCTTTTTATTTATTTATAAATAAGAAAGCAACAAGTGGACTTTCTTGTTGTATAGTCAACTAGGTATTTATGCAGAAAAACGGAGAAAAAGAAGAGAAAAAGAAGAAAAAGGAAAAAATAAATAAGTGAACGAAATAGGAAACTCAATTAAATAAAATAAAGGAAGAAGTTCTTCTTTTTTCTTCTTGCTTCCTGTTCTCATTGTGTGCCGCTTGCTGCTAAGACCACGAGGAGGAAATAGAGAATCCTTCTTCTTCTCGCTTCGCTTCTCCCCGTATTTATATTTGTTAAAATAATAAAATATTTATTTTTTTATTTTATTTTAATTTTATTTATTAATTTATTTTCTATTTAATTAAAAGAATGCAACATTGACAGATATTGAACAGGATACCCCCGCCTCTTTCTCTCTCTTCCTCTCCCTACCGAGACGTGCAGACAGAAAATTTTTCTTTTCCTTTTTTTTTAGTTTATTTGTGTATTTTGTATAAAAATAACAATATTAATCATTATTAATTATCATTTATTTAGTATTTATTTATTAATTAATTGTTTTTATGCAATTAATTCCCTCAATGTAACCTAGTTATGCTGATCTGCTAGCCACTACATTAATAACGTCTTTGTCTGTCGACCCTCTCCTTCTTTCCGATTGTCGCTTCTTCTTCGTCTTGTTGTCTTTTTTCTTTTTCTTAATTTAATTTTATTTAGTTTATTTAAAGAAGTATATTTTAATTTATTTATTCAAACAGGTCTATTGCAATAATAAGGCAGCAGCTTTGTTATAAGTTGACGACGAGCAACTGCTGCTCGTTGAATGGTATTCAACGCAGTTGGGGTGTATAGGCAGCTCATAAAGTTGAACTGTTGATTATCCTTTTATGACGAAATCATAAATTAAATTTATTTTAATGAGTAGAATATAAAAGACAATTAACTCAATAGCTTACGGACACTGCAGTATATATGGATTGCTCTTTATAGGTATTCTTACTGATTAAGAAGAAGAAAGCAGGTCCCTCCTCTTTCTTTTCTTTCTGCTTCTTCTTCTTCTTCGTATATGACCACAATAGGACAATGGATAATCATTTTTCTTCTTCTTCTTCTTTATCTTCATCATCATGCCGTATAATAGACAGTGTTACCTCCTCGAAATATAACCAAGAAGAGGAGGTTTCTTCTTCTTTTTCCTCTTCATTCCCTCCTCCTTCATCGGCTGTTGACGGCAATTCTTCTTCATCTCCTCCTCTTCCTCCTCCTCCCCCTCCTCCTTTTCCTTCCTCTTTTCCTTCTTTTTCTTCTTTTTCTTCTTTTTCTTCTTCTTTTTCCTCTTCTTCTTCTTCCTTAAACATAGACAATTACTTTGACAGTTTATTTGGTGGTGATTTATGTTGTAAGTTATGGTTTACAACCCCACGTTCTTTTTCTCGTAAATTATTAACACGTCTTACGGATTTATTAAGAATTGCCTTAGGAGAGGAACAAAGAAATACATTAAATAAACATATACCTAATGATATTCTTCGTAGTCTTGCAGGACATACAAGAGAAAAAGTCTGTCTTGCTAATCATAAATCTTTTTGGCCTTATCCTCCAACTCTTCTTTATTTATATAATGATTTAGATGTAAGAAAAGGGAGTCGCAATTATATTATTATTTATTGATATAATAAAATATATACATAATATATATCTCTTATACATTCCTGTCTATTTATTGCTGGTGCATGTGCTGCTGCTTCTGTTGCTGTTCCTTGTGTTTTGCTCTATTCATCTTTTCCTTTATTTGTTGGTATTTGTCTTGTTGTTTCTCCTCTGCTAATGTTATTCTTCTGCAGTCCTCATGCACAACACCACAACGCCACCACAACACATATAAATAAATAAATAAAATAAATAAATAAAATAAATAAATAAAATAAATAAATAAATAAATAAATAGAAATAAAATAGAAATAAATAAAAATATGTATATATTTATATACAGGTATATGGAGGAGTTCAATGTATGGGTGAGATGGTAGTACAGAATTCAAGTCAATTGCATTGGGGAATTAATTTGGCCATCGGCGTCAAATCGGAATCAACAAATTGTGCGGGATCTGATTTCTGGAGATTCTGTAAGGAATGCTCTTATGGATTATTCTGTGAGCAAGAGGAGGAGGACGACGACAACGATACACAGCATGGACAGACAGGACACCAAGGAGGAAAAGGAGGGACAGGAGGAGGAAGACGAAAAGAAGAAAGAGCAACACCAAGAACAACAGGTAAAGCTAAACGAGAAAGACGCAAAGGATATCATCATAAAAATAATAACGGACAAATGCTCACTCAATTATTCAATACAGCTTATCAGGTAAGAAATACATTATTTATATTCTTTATTTATTATTTATATAAAATTAAGAAATAAATATTATTCATAAATTTATATA